AAGTTTTCCAGAAGCAGAAAGTGGGAACCAGTGACCAAAGATGACATTTGGAAATGTCTGGGCCTAATAATACTTCAGGGAGTGGTGTGGAAACCCCTGCAGAAGTGGTATTGTACAAATAATAAATTACTTGCCGATCCATTCTTTGGCACGGTCATGTCAGAGTACAGATTTTCCCTCGTCATGAAGTTTTTATACTTCGCAAACCACATCCCGCACCAAAACTAAAGAAAATTTGGAAGGTATCTCAAATGATTGTCCCAGAAAGAGACATCAGCATAGATGAAAGTCTAATGGCCTACAAGGGAAGGCTCAGCTGGGTACAATACATAGCATCAAAGAGAGCACGATTTGGCGTAAAATCCTACATGCTATGCAAATTGTCAACTGGCTACATTTGGAGTTCAGTCATTGAAACGTTCCTCCTGGCCGGGCCGCGTCACGTGTGCGTTCCAGCGTGGAACGCAGCCGCGGGAGAAGCCGCAGAGGGCTCGTAGGGTGCGCTCCACGCTGGAACGCGGAAGTGCGCCACAGCCGCGTGACGTCACGGCCGCGGCCTATTTAAACTTCAACCCAACGATGCAGGGTGTTCACTATTGGGTTTCTCATGCCCAAACATCCTGGAACCTCGTTCTTCAAGGAGACTGTCTCGCCAGGAGCTAAAGGAGGACTACCCTACTGCTGGAAGAAGTGACCTCTGTCACTACTGCTCTGCACCTAAGCGCAAGTACCTTAAGCCGATAGGGGTTTTCACTTCTATGGACTGCCTAGGGGTTTCCATCAGTAAGAAGTGTATGTGTATAGTACTGGACTGCCTACCACCTATCTCATATAAGTATATATGCACGTGTGTACCTCCGGACCACCTATAAGTACTGGGAAATGTTCCACTTATAACAGTTGGCTAATCTCCACCTCTATACAGCAGGGTGCAAGCAACCTCACCTGAAGACCCTTGGTGGTTCCATCCAGGCTTAGGACCTGATTACTCCGTCTGCATACTAATTATCATTCCCCTCCTGTACGGCTCATGATGCAAGAACCCCAAACTCTCCGCCTATGATTGAGAGCGACGCCTGGGGTTCGTGACTGAGCGCCGTACAGAGTCCTTTCTCGGGGTCCTTCGCATCCGCAGTTGAGATCCTATTCACCTACTATTAACTACAAGCGGGCTGTGACAGACACTAATGGATCTGCAGGGTGCTTACAACCTGATCAGGGTAAAAGAAGGGGATGAGTGGAAAACAGCTTTCAGGACCCGATATGGCCTTTTTTAATACAACGTCATGCCTTTTGGCTTATGCAACGCCCCTGCCACTTTCCAACATCTAATAAATGATATCTTCAGGGACCTACTGGATGTCTGCGTAGTAGTTTACCTAGACGATATCCTGATTTACTCAGAAGATCTCGAAACCCACAGAAAACATGTGCGCTGGATTTTAGCCCGACTCAGGGCACACTCTCTTTACGTGAAAGCTAAAAAATGTGTGTTTGAGCAGAACACCATAACCTTCTTGGGATACGTCATCTCTCCTTCAGGCATTCAAATGGATCAGTCTAAAATCCACTGCATTCAACAGTGGCCAGTACCACATACAAGGAAGGCTCTGCAAAGTTTCTTAGGATTCGCTAACTTCTACAGGAAGTTTATAAGGAACTTCTCCGCTATCATGAAGCCCCTATCCGCTTTAACCAGTACCAAGAACGCCTTCTCATGGTCGTCAGAGGCCCAAGTCGCCTTCGACCTTCTAAAGAACCACTTCGTATCTGCCCCCATCCTACAGATACCCAACCCGGAATACCACTACGTCTTGGAAGTCGATGCTTCTCAAGTCGCTATCGGTGGGATCTTGTCACAACGTCTTGGGGTGGCAACCCCTCTACACCCAGTCGCCTACTTCTCCAGGACTCTCAACTCCTCGGAACAAAACTATCCCATCGGAGAGAAGGAGTTGCTAGCCATTAAGGCCGCCCTCGAAAATTGGAGACACCTACTGGAAGGTACCAAATACCCTTTTACAATATTCACTGACCACAGAAACCTACAGTATCTCAAGACCTGCAAAACTCTATCAGCCCGGCAAGTCCGCTGGAGCCTGTTCTTCGACCGCTTTGACTTCATCATCTCATACAGACCAGGATCCAGGAACGGGAAAGCCGATTCTCTCTCTCGCATGCACGAAGACAATGCGATCACAAGGCCTTCGATCTCTGTTATCCCACCTAGCAAATTCCTCTGTGCGACAGTACCCTTCAAGCAGCAAATTAAAGACAATTTGCCCACAAACCCCGACCACGTACCTCCGGGCCTCGTCATGGACGACGAAGGTTTCTTATTTAAAGACACCAAATTATATGTACCACCCGAGACGCAGATGCCTCTAATTCAGCTTCTACATGATGCTCCTTTGGCGGGCCATCCTGGAATAACTAAGACTCTAGACCTCCTCAGTAGGCATTTCTGGTGGCCTCGCATGAAAGACGCTGTAACCTCCTACATAAATACCTGCCAGATCTGCATCTCTTGCAAGCGTGAAAGACGCCCTCCCTACGGTCTGCTCATTCCACTCGAAACTCCAACCAGACCATGGGAGTATATCTCCTTCGATTTTATTGTCGAACTACCCGCTTCTCAGGGCCATAACACTATAATGGTTTCTGTTGACCTCCTCACTAAGATGGCACACTTCATTGCGTTAAAGAAACTACCCTCTTCTAAGGAGACCGCTCAATGCTTCCTCACGCACGTTGTCAAGTTACACGGGTTGCCCACTCGAATCATATCAGACAGGGGAACACAGTTCGTATCTAAATTCTGGAAGGCACTCTGCTCAGCCCTGGACATCGAGCATCGATTATCAACGGCCTACCATCCCCAGACCAACGGACAAACGGAGAGGGCAAACCAATGCCTCGAACAATACCTGAGATGCTATACGACCAACCTTCAAGACAACTGGGTTGAGTTGCTTCCACTAGCGGAATTCGCCTTCAACAATGCCACCAGTTCTTCCACGGGGCTCACTCCCTTTTTTGCCAACTATGGATTCCATCCAAACCAGCTACTATGTTGCCACGATGAAACTCGAACTCCCTCCGGCGCTGAGGGTACACCCCTGTTTCCACGTCTCCTTGCTGAAGCCTTTTCGGCCTGACCCATTCCCGAACCGGCTGCCTCCACCTGCTCCCCCGGTACAAGTGCAGGGTGAGACCGAATACGAGGTGGGCTCGATTCTTGATTCCAGGAAACGCAGGGGCTGCCTCCAGTACCTGATCCGTTGGAAGGGGTACGGTCCTCTTGAGGATTCTTGGGAGAGTGACCGGGATGTCCATTCCTCCTCTATTGAAACGGGGCTTCCATAGGAGGTATCCCTCCAAACCTTCATCCTCGAGGAACCCCGGTGCGGTTCCCTTGGGGAGGGGGTCCTGTAACGTTCCTCCTGGCCGGGCCACGTCACGTGTGCGTTCCACAACTTTGCTTAGGTTCTCTTGTAGTGCAAATATCTCATGTTCGGAATTTACTGCTCTGCAGACATTAGTATCATCCGCAAAAACTGAAACTGAGCTATTTAGTCCATTCTCTATGTCATTGATAATTGATGCTAAGCTGACAGGCTTGTATTTTCCCGGTGCACTTCTTTTAGCCTTTTTGAATATTGGTACTACATTTGCTCTCCTCCAATCAGCCGGGACCATACCTGTCATTAGACAAGTGCGATTTGTTTAGTTCCAAATCAAAATTTGCACGAAATGTCGTAAATTCGGATGTATCCGGATTCCGGATTACAAATTCAACGAATGCAAACGAATCCGAATTTCCGATATTTCCGATTCCGAAATTTGTTAGCGGTAGTCTGTACGAATTGTCGTTTCGTTTTCTTTACAGCAAAGTGACATTTGAGCAGGGGGGGAATGTTTTATTTTTTTAAAGTCTGCAGAAGAGGAAAAAAAAAGTGTGAGGTTCTCCCCCCAATTCACACCAGACCCTTTAGGTCTAGTAGGAATGTTAGGAGAGACCCCCCCCCAAAAATGCCACTCAGGTCTGTGAGCCAAAGTGTCATAATACTTTTCATAAATACTTTTGGACGAATTTTGGTTGCAGCAAAGTGACATAAATTGTTTATTTTTTTAAATGTCACTATGCTGCAACGAACGAACTAAACGAAACGACAATTCGTACAGAATACCGCTAACAAATTTCATCCGAATCCTGAAACAAATTGAGTTTCGGACCCGAATCCCGAAAAACGAAATAACGCAAAATGCGAAACGAAACAAATTTTTTTGCTGGTGCACATGGCTACCTGTCATTATACTGTCCATAATAATTTTGTACAAGGGTCTGGCTATGACTTGACTAAGTACCCTTGATGTAACTCGTCAGGTCGTGATCACATATTATGACCTACATTTTACCGCAGCCAGGTATACCATTTTATCTTCCTAAATTCTTTTTGATAGATTGTCAGCACTGGCAAAACAAAAAAAACTGAGCACATGATATGTCCCCATGGGGATCGGTAGGTTCCGGATAACTGTAGTTTCTGGTTGCTTGAGAGATAATTGTAACTCTCAAGCAACCACCCCTCCGCAGCACCCGGCTTCCCCCGCAGCAGCGTGGAGAACTAGCCAGCCTGCTATTGGCTATTGCAATAGCAGGCTGGCTATTGAAGCCCCGCCCACTGAGCAGAAGAGTGTCCCTGAGAGAGAAAGTTCTCTCTCAGCTCTGCTCTTCTGCTCAGTGGGCAGGAACAAAAGCCAGCCTGCTATTAGCATTTGCAAGATGTAAACAAATAATTTTATTAGAAACTAAATAAATTTAGTTGCTAATGAAATTTTTTAGTGTACTGTGTATCAAGCAACCAACATTTTTTCTACTGGGCATCAAGCCACCGACAAAAAATGCTGAATACTGGGGAGTTTACTGTATTTTTTTAAAATAGTGACATAAATGTAGAGTAAATGTTATAACTTGTTTTCTTTTTTTCTCTTTCAAGAAAGGAGACTGCACAACCTAGGCCTGCTTAAGGATCATCCATCTGAAACAATGTATTTTCTAAGCGGTTTGCGGGCAAGACAAGTTATTGACGACCATGTTCCATTTTTAGAAAGGGGTAAGATATGAGCACACGAAAAATAACAAATTCTTTTTAAATATAATTATATCTTAAAGTCTTCTGTTTTGTTTTTTCCATTGTATTTTTTTGCATATATAGAATTTTCTACTTCATCTGTACATTTATCTAATTATCCTTAAATCTCTGGATAGTTTAAAGATAAAGACGTTGATCCCTACTGGATTTAAGTCTTCGTTATATTAGCCACCCTTAAGATATCTTACTCCAAGGAATATATATTTTTTATTAACTGTTTTATTATGAGTAGTTACATAGTTGCTAAAGGAGAACTATGGAGTAAGTGTTTTGCCCCATAGTTCTCCTAAGGGTCACAGGAGGACACAAACTAGCGTCCTCCCATGACCCAAAGCTCAGTATACCGCGAGCTACAGCTCGCGGTATACTGAGACCGCCACAGCCGGGACGGATCCCAACATTAATGTCGAGATCCACCCAGCTGCGTGATTGACAGCTGGCTCTGCCTATCTAGAGGCAGAGTCAGCTGTACCCGCCCCCCTCCCCCATCCGTTCCACCAGTCAGCGCTGGAGGATCGGACAGGGGAGGGTGGGAACCCCAGGGGAGGGTGGGAATCCCTGCAAGGAGACGCGAGTGACAGTCACGGCTCTCAGCAGGGACCTGATCGAGAAGTGAGCGAGCGACGGTATGTGTTCGCTCACTTCCCGATCTATTGAGCTGACGTGTGACAGTTTCATTGTCACGTCGGCTCCAACTATGAGGTTGAGTGAAAATCACTCACCTCATAGTTCTCCTTTAAGGTTGAATATAGACACAGGTCCACCCAGTTTAACGTGTACGTGTGTGTAAGAATTTCCATACCCCTGTATATTGTATTCCTTGAGGAAGACATCTAGACATTTTTTGAATGTGTCTATACTCTCAGCTGATACCACTACCTGAGGAAGAGTGTTCCGCAACTTTACTTCTTTAACATTAAAGAATCCACTGCACAGTTTTAGATTAAACCTCTTTTCTTCCAGTCTCAGGTGGTGGCCTCTTATCTTTTATAGGGACCTTAGTTAGAGTAAACTATTTCTTACCGATTATTCCATCCCCATTTAACAATTTGTCATGTCTCCCCTTAATCACCTCTTCTGCAGATTGAATAAGTTTAGTTGATGTAATCTATATTCATAGTAAAGGTCTTCATTATGGGTAGGTTGTTTGTGCCAGACATGTTATAAAGCACAATAACTAAGAGACTTGCCTTCCCATTATGTGATTTTTCACAAACCAGTTAGCTATCAGTGTGTAGGCTGTGTCTGTGTGTTTTTAAATCTTGCATATCATGCTGCAGGACAACAAGGTCATATAGGGCAAAGGTGGCCATGCTTAAGCAGTATTCCAACTCAAAGCAGGGTTAAGAGAAAAGACAACATGACAAATGTTTCTTGGAATATAATTAATTTGATAGCTCGTACAACTTGATTCACTTGACCTATAAAATCAAACATTGGGGGTTGGCAATTAGTTATTTAAAAAACATGGGATTAAACTACGCACTCCCAATGGAACCCACACACCAGTACCCCAACAAAAGTCCTTGACATTTTCCAACAACATCTCTCAACTCTATATTCATCCCAAGGCCAATTCTCGACAACTCGGGCAACCCAATTCTTTGCGGACCTAGAGCTTCCCCGCCTCTCAAAGTCACAGATAGCCTCCTTTGAGGAGCCCATTACGGAGGAGGAAGTCCAACTGGCAATTGCCTCGCTTTCCTGCAGCAAAAGGCCAGGCCTAGATGGCTTCACTGCAGCATATTATGTTACCTTCAAAGACCTCCATTGACTAACTCCTTTTGACTAACTCCTTTAACTCCCCACGTAGCGGAAACTCCCTAGGTCCAGACTCCCTTACCGCCTTGATCTGCATTGTATCTAAACCCGCCACTGATCACACTAACCCCTCTAACTATAGACTGATCTCCCTACTTAATGTAGATATTAAACTACTAGCCAAAGTGTTGGCCAATAGACTTAATCGGGTGATCGGCCTACTGGTTTCCAATGACTAAGTAGCTTTCATCCTTACCAGACAAGCTAGCGACAACATCAGAAGAATCACTCTCCTTTCCCATGTAGCCAAAACTAAGAAAATACTCACCATGCTCCTTTCCCTTGATATTAAAAAAGCATTTGACAGTGTTTCCTGGCCCTACCTCTTCCAAACACTGCGACATTGGGGCTTTGGGTCGACCTTCTTAGTTTGGGTATCTTCCTTGTACAACTGGCCTACTGCTCGCATCAAGTACTCTGGTTTTTGCTCCCAACCCTTTCCAATCCTCAAAAGCACCAGACAGGGATGCCCTCTGTCACCACTCCTCTTTGCCCTAGCTCTAGAGCCCCTGGCCCAGAAACTTCGCAACTCCCAGAATATCACAGGCATCAACCATGCAGGCTTATATCACTTCATGTTCGCTGATGATGCCTTACTCTACATAACAAACCCAGTAGTGACCCTGCCTAACCTCACAAAACTCCTCCCAGAGTTTGCCTTTATATCAGGTCTCTATGTTAACGACTCAAAGTCCAAAGCTTTATATATTTCTCTACCTCCGACATTGGTCAAATCCCTGTGCAACAGCTATCCCTACTCCTGGTGTACGGACCATCTTTCCTAACTGGGAATCAAGCTCACGAATTCTTACTATTCTTTATATAACGCACACTACCCGGAGATAGTGACCAAGCTCTTACACATGCTATGGACATGGTCCTCTTGCCTAAGATCTTATACTTATTTAGAGTCTTGCCGGTGGCTATCCCTGCCCCTATCCTCAGGAAGCTTCAATCACATATCTTTAAGTTTATATGGGGAGATCGACGACCTAGAGTTCCTAGACGTACACTATATCTCCCGAAGGCCCGAGGAGGACTGGCTGTTCCACACTTAGCTAAATATTACCTTGCGGCACAGATTGGGCAACTGGTGAAGTACCACTCTGTCCTTGAGGCTCCGGCCTGGGTAGCTGTGGAAACCGTCCTGTCGCCAACCTCCTCTGGCTAAACCCGAAACACAGATCAATTATCTCCAACCCAATCACATCTCATTCACTTCGGCTAAGGGACTCCGTTAAAACTCCTAGCAGACTCCTTTCCCCACACCTACCCCTCATGTCCTTCCTCGCTAATCCTTCCTTCATCCCTGCCTTTCACCACCCATCATACTTTTCTGCATGGTCTGAGCGACACCTTACCTATTTCTGGCAGCTGCAGACCACCTCAGGTGTGAAACCCTTCCCACACCTACAAGAACACAGACAACTCCCGAGTAAGGAAATCTTCCGATACCTCCAAGTCAAAAACGTTATCACCTCATCCACTCCTAAACAGACTAGCCTCAAATTACTGTCCCCGTTCGAACGAATTTGCAGCGACAGTCCACATAGCCCTGGCCTTATCTCCCTCCTCTACTCCATGCTGGTCTCCCCCACGGATACACCTCCCCCTTCATACTGTCTCAATGGGAAAGGGACTTAGAGTCCAACATTGCCGAAGAGGTCTAGCAACAATTCTGGGCAAACACTAGATGCAGCTCGCGCTGTGTAAGCATGGAAAAGAAGATGTTTGGAAGGGTGGGGGTTTTTAGGCACTCTAAGCGATGATTTACAAAAAATTTTTATATAAAATGTATACATTTTATTAAATACATGATTAAAAAAAGTAAATCACAATATAGAAAAAGAGAACAAAAAGCGAGCAGAAACACCTCCAATATCCACCATTGCCCTGAGTATTAATTGGTTAAGACCAAGTTAACATAATTAGTTTAGCTAGTTCATTAGTAGGTCTCAACTCCCACAATATGGTTGACACACTTCAATTGGCTAGACGGCTAATCTGTAGCTATTCATTGGGGTTTAAATATTGAAGAAACCGAGAGGATTTAGCTTTATAGGCATTTGACACCATCCGTTAGATATGGATTCAGTGTATCGCCATCTGTGGCTAGCTGTGATTAGTTCAACATGATTATATAACACTCATCGTGGTTTTGGATTGCCATCCTATTATCGTCGATTGATATGTATCAACCATTAATAGGGTTAACATTGTACATGATTTAAAAAATTATGTTTTTTGTATGGTTTCTTAGCTTTGACTCAGGGAGTTGGAGCTGGTGGAATATAGCGACAACGCGTTTCGCGTATCACAACGCTTCTTCAGGTCTAGAGGTGGTCTGGATTAAGAATGTAGAACAATCACATAAATCATCTAATCAGCATCTAATAAATAGTATGAGAAAGTATGTATGCGTAATAGACAATAATGCACTCAAAAGTCCAAAGTATAAAATACGCCATTGTTTCCACAAACAAATATCAACAAGCAGAGAGCAGAAAGAAAACACAAAAACAAAGAAATATACAAATATATGTACATAAGGGGTGCCGGTTTTACCAGTCCCAAGTGAGGCCACCCGATGCCCCCATAGGGCAGTATTCAGCAGTTCAGAAGTTTCAAATTTCGCCCAGACAGTGGAATGAATTAGGGTAACAGCGTCTAGGCATGAAAAAGGCCCATATAATGTCAAGCGGCATAATCTACGAAAAAACAGGAGCAAGCAGAGAAAGAGAAGAAGGAAGAAAAACAAGAGAAAGCCAAAGACATCCACTAAGTAGAGATAGATGTCATACAGGAGGAACGTCCCATGGCTGAGATCAAAAAAGAAAAAAGGGGAGGTAGAAGAGGGATACCTTCCCTAATACAACCAATCACTTGCCAGAAGCAAGAAAAAAAGACACCGAAAGAAAGTTAGTGTTCAACAAAGCCCAGCAGGCCACCTCATCAGCGCTGCACCTGTGCTCTGAAAATCGTGATTACCAATAGAGTGAATAGCAAGTTTATCAGGTTCATATGAGGGGAAAAAAGTTACCTGTATATTAGATGGATTAGAGGATAGCCAAGGGGGCGGCAGCCTGTTTTCAAATCCACCATGTCCCTAGTATTCCATTCCAAGAGAGGCCATCGGTGTA